CGGAGTAAAATAGATTACGATATTGTATCAAAGCAATAGCTGGAAATGAAGCAGTAGTCTGGGGATCACTTGGCATAGAGGCTATAACCATGGTTTCTAATTTTTTCGTTTATATAAACATGAGGAACATGCGAAGTAAGTTTCAAAGAAAATAACGCATGATGAATGAAGTGTAAATAGCTTGATTCTCAGAAGCAGACCCTCTTATTCTTTACCGGGCAGGTCCAAGGTTGACACACTTATGACGGCACTTATAGTCGAGTAATTACTAAAGGAAAGAGTTAAGAAACCAAATAAACCAACACTATACTCATAGATGATGAGATTTCATGGCTAAGCTAGTACAGGAAAAACGGTTAAATGCAAACGACAAAAGTTAAAACTTACTGCATTGTTTGGCTATCGCTTCTGTCATTTCAGTACTAAGAACATTGATACAAGAATCGCATGTATTGATAGAATCGGCTTTCTGAGAGGACTCAATATTTGGCTTCAATAAAGAATTGTCTGTATGCACATCGATTGAGTGCGTAATAGAGAGTACTGGAGAAACTAGAGTCTCCAAAGGGGGCGTTAATAAATCCGGGCGCTCAGTTGTCATCAAAGTGGTCAACTTTTGGCTTCCTAGCTCATCACTGAACCGCCTTCCTTTTCCTGTAACTCTAGGTTTGCCACAATCTGAAGTGTAAGTTTTCAAAGGCTCGACTGTCACCTGCCGTGCGTTCCGAGGCGCTTGATAAGGCTCATTTGGCGGCCTTAGTTCAGTAGCACCAGTCTTTGAATGTTCATCAACGTCTGTAGTTCCAAACCCAGTTCGACAAGATTCAGTGGGGCTAGTCCGAGGCCGACTGTACCGAGGATCAATTGTCCACTGAAGCACAATATCCATCAGGCCTGATTCACTCTGGACTTGCTTTTGCTCGGAGACCGGTATCAGATCAAGACAGATCAGGATCTATGTGGAGGAATATGACAGTTGAAATTTAGGGTAATTGGAAAGATGTATTTAATATTCAAAGTAATCCAACACAAAATAAACACATTTTATGTCTTA